GGGGGGGCGAGCATGGGGGAGGCTCAAAAGCAGGGGTGGGAAGGCAGCATTTGGGCATTTTCCAAAGGACACGGCAAACAAACGTTCCCTAGAAAGATGAAAATTTAACTCAACAAGAAAGGAAGACACTGTTTTTAAAACCACTGTAATTACCTAAGAGTTGGTTACTCCTTCAAACTCTGTCAAGTCTGTCATTTCTGATTCCAGACTCCTCAGGGTATTTGAAAGACTGGTTTATTCAAATTACATCAATGTCCTTTACTTGCATCTGAAAAATCAAGGTCAAGCTATGTTGATATGTGAAGGGGAATTTAGATGAATGAGGGCCGACTACCGTCTCTGGCCCTGTAATTACTTTCTTTGTAAGCCTGAATACCCAATCAGATGGATGCCTTCTCAACACTTTTTGTCATATTTATGGCATACCTTAAACAATGGAATCTGGAAACCGCGGCAACATCTGTGTCCAAATATATCCAAGCCTGTTTATGTTTTTAATTGAAAATCAAATCATTTTAGATGAACTAATCTATGGTATCGTCAAAAATGCATATTTTTAGGTAACTCTTAAGAGCATTTTGCAAACCATTAAAATAACTTGACTTCATACTGTAGCTTTAAAAGATATTTCTCAGCCGTGATTACTATTGGAATGAAATCAGGAGTAGCATTCAGAAAAGTCTGCAGCAGGAAAAGTTTTGCATAAGAATTCTGATTCCACCAGAAATCCATTTCTTTCAGGAGGGTTTTACCATTCCCCATTGGCTGATGTAATATGGTTGATTTGCTCTCATTCCAATTAAAGATGCAATTCATCAAAGAGTCTTTAACGTCATTCATGCAAAGCTTTCTATTAGTGCTATCAAGCGCTGATGGATTTCTAATCGGGCATCCTTAGCAAGCAGGAGAACTCTAAAACTCTCTGATTTTGTATGAAGCAACTCTCATTTGTACGTTTCTGTGGTCTGGCCTGGTGTAATGTTTATTCCTTTATACTCAGTCTGGTTTATTTTAGGCCTATGGGCCAGATGATTTGTACAGGAGGGTGATTTGTATAGGAGGGCAATTGTGTTGTTTTTAGTGAATCCTTGAAAATTATAAAACACTTAAGCCAAATGAGGGGTCCTGTCACCTGGAGTTTCTTAGGAGAAAATGACTTTTCAAAGACTGTGGGAATTATCAAGAAAATCATTTTTCCCTTGAAATGATGTGTTGGTACACAAGAGGGCTGTTGGTCAGGATACCAAGAGGAAGTGGTAACAGGAACGTAAGGAAATGTGTTGCTGTTTTCATGGCTAGATGAACAGGAGACCATTGCACACTTTCCCCATTTATCTTCTCATTTTAAAAAGTGGCAGGACTCGGGTACAGCTTGATTGTTCAGGAAAATAAAAGATACCTGAGGCGTGGATAGAAAACCCACAAACGGTAAGTAAAATAAGAAAACCGGGGATCACTTTTTTTCCTGTTTACTAACGTTCACACTGAGCTGTGTACTTTGGTTACCATGGTTGTGTGGTATCTGATGTCACCAGCCACACCATATAAAATCACAGAGGCCACGACAGGCAGGAAGAGAGGCCTGGCCTTGTTGTCTGAGTGATACAAATAGCCCAGTGTGTTGGATGTGAGCCTGAGTGTACTTCAGCCGGATGAGCCCAGCCCTGAGCACACTCGCTGCAGCCTCACCTCTTCTCCTGCCTCCTCCTGCCCCCTAGTGGAAAGCTATGGGAAAGCATGGGAGTCCACCTGGGGGTCTTTGCACGAACTGAGATACCATTGCCTGCGAGCTGGCCTCTCCCAGCCTTGTTCCCAGGCATTGTCTGTGCATGTTCTGGAGAATCAGAGCTCTCCTGGGATGCTCTAGAATCTACCTAGGATGAACACCACCGTTTCCTATGTCATTTTCCTGAGACCTTCAACTAACCTTGCCTGCCCTGTTCCCCAATTTGCAGGTACCTCCCCCTTGTTCAGTCACCACACAAGACATACCTTTTCTGGAAAAGACAAATTATTCCTTCTTTGGGTCCTGCAAACTGTAGAGAACCAACAGAGTACTGTGCTATCGAACAATTTCCACATGGGAGTGTCTATTGCCTTTTATATATCCCTATACAATTTATTCATAAAAACCTACTAGATGCCAGGCCCCGGAGACACGGAAGAAACTGGTGAGTGTTCCTGCCTGCAGGAGCTCACAGCCCAGAGAAAGAACAGCTCGTCCGTCAGTTGCCATGTGAATGAGGTCCACGGTGCTCAAAAGCCAGTGCTGTGCTTTGGGAATGAAGACTGTGGGGGAAGAGGCATTTGGATTTGCTGTGGGTTCTTGGCACCACAAGGTTAGCCCAGCAACTGTGACTCAGGAAAATAAAAGAGGTTGGTACAGGCCATCTTGACAGCGCACACCTCTAGAATACTCTGGTCGTGCTGGGTATTTTCATTCCTGCCCAAGTCACAATAATCTGACTGTCTCAGCCTGTGTGGAAGCTGCTAAGAAGAGGCAGACATCACCATGAGCTCCCTTCGATGACGCACTGCATGATTTTCCCACTGTGACAGCCCTCGGCTCCTGCCAACACTCTGCTCTGCTTTGCTCACTTCAAGCCTCCCTTAGTTTTTCTGAAGCCCCATTTTTCCACCTCGTGGATTCACAGATATGGAAGACCTAGAAAGAAAAAAAGGAAATTATCTCAGATGACTCAGGAGCCCTCCTGGTCTCTGTGATCTGTGTACAGACTTGCACATTAAAAGCTGGGGGTAATAATATTGTCATCTGTGAAGGAAAAGCTGAAAGAAAAACATACTCATGTTCTTCTAAACTCCTGGCTTTGGGCAAAAATTACTGCAGGGAAGATGCATTCTCAGCTCTGGCCTGATGGCTGAACACTGCATCTGGGGTGAGGGTCCCTGTAAAGAGCCCCCAAAGATATCATGTTCCTGGGTGAAGGCAGCGTCTTGTTCATCTCTCCCTGATGCAGCCATGTTTGTAGGATGAATGGTTGCCACTCCAAGCCCTGCTAGGTCCCTGAGCCCTGGAAGATATAAGGGTTGTGAAGTGAAACCAAATGGCAGGCCTTAGACCCCTAGACTTATGATACTTGAACAAATAGGGGACATGACTTGCCTGCTACAAAACTGCTGAAAGAGATGACAGATAGGGAAGGATGGAAATCACCTACGGGAGAGAAGAATGGATCATCACTCCACATCCATCGGGAGGCAGAGGTACCAGTGAGGGCAGCCACAGCAACGCAGCCATTGTGCCCCCTGAAGAGAACAAGGGAGCTGTGGGTCAGTAGCCGAAGGTGCTTGGGGACAAAGGCTGCAAGGCCCTACTGCGGTGACAGCAACACACATACACAGAGCCCCTAAGAAGGGCCCCTAAGGACTCTGCCCCCAACTTGGCCCTTCTTCCCTCTGCAGAAGAGAGCTGGCCTTAGTCAGGAAGAATAGGGTAGAGAGGGAGGAAGGCATAGCCAAAGACTTCAGGGAATTCACCCCAAATCCTCGGTTTTCCCCAGGGCTGTTGTGGCCTGGGGAAAAGAAGTTACGTACTAGTATAAATGGTGAGCACTCTGCAAATTTTGTAATTAGTCTAAAGAAACTTCAACATTCTATTTTAGGATAGTATACATTCAAATGATCTTTCTGTGCCCCAGCTTTGGGTTCTATTATATTCTCACTCTTCTTGCTTTTCTTTTATTTCCTCCATGCGCTCTCAGTAGCACCCATAATTCGTTCATTCACTCAACAAATATTGATCGAATGCCTGCCCTTTGCTGGGTCATACTAGATACCAAGAATACAATGTCAGCAAAAACAGACATAGTCTCTGCCCTCATGGAACTTATACAATAGAGAAGGAGATGAGCTTGCTCAAATACCCACACAAATTAACATAACACTGCAATGTGTGGTGCCCTGAGTATATAATAAAGGGTTTGATTTAATAAGGGATGTCAAAGAAATCTCTAAGGAAATGATGGGTGAAATGAAATATGAAGGAACAATTGGACTAACTAGGCCAGGTGGGTCCCCTGCATCAACGTGGTGGGCTGGCACCTGTGTCTTCAAACTGTGGAGGACGCAAGTGTGACCAAAGCTCAGACAGTGAGTGGGGCAGGATGCACGACAAGGCTGGACTCAGGGCAGACCATGCACAGAGAGCCACTGAAGTGTTTAAGTGGATGGGCGATTGATCAAATGTGCATTTCAGAAAGGTTGCTCCAGCCTCCCTGGAGACAAAAGCTTGGAAAGAGTCATATGTAGATGTCATGAGACTAGTTGAGAAGCTGTTACATGTGAGTTCAAGACTAGGGGAAGAGCAACAGAGGAGAGAAAGCGGGGAGGTGGGGGGGTGGGGGTGGGGATTCTATTTGGGAAGTACAATTACCAGGTCACAATGATGGAGTAGATAGGCTTACAATATATTCCACACATGTACAATCTTCTAACAACCTCCCTGCAATGAGCCGCTCTCTTCGTGGGCTAGATTACCATCTGAGGTAGCATACAACTTTCCCCTCTTTTGGGTTGTCTCTAAGGATGACTTCGTAGTTTCTTTCTAGCTTTCTTTAAAAATGAAGGGAAGGAATGTCCATGACTCCTGGAACATATCAACTCAAAGGTCATGAGTTGGAATGATAACAACTCAGATTACAGGACTGTCCACCTCCAAGCTCTCATGACCTTAACTGAAGGGCTGAGGGCTGGGCACCAGAGCTTCATACCGCGATGGGCTGCTGCAACATCAGATCTGCTGATTAAGTGCTCAAAATTCATGCACTGTCCAATTAATCAAAGTATTCTTCTACCACATGCTCAGAGGATGCTGTTGCGAGATTCCTGCATCAGCTGGGAGTGGAACTAGCTACCAGATGCCCTCTTCAGCCGAGGAGCTTTGCTTCTGCAAAACAGTCACTGATCTGTTCCAGGAATGGTGTTTCATTGCTGTGCTGTGCTGTGCTGTGCACCGGGGGTTGGAACATGAAGAAAACTTTTTGCCCTCCAGTATCTGCAGCCTCGCAGATCTACCAGTCAGAACAGCATAGGATGATGCACAGAGGCAAAGGGCTGTGGGGACCCCCAGGCAGGGGACAGGAGCTCTGCCCAGCTGACTTAGGAAGGTTTTCCAGAAGGTGCATCTGAGCCAGGTGTCAAGGGGCAAGCAGGAATTCATCCAGAGAAGAGGAGACTCGTTGTTTCAGGCAGAAGGATACCTAGTAGTAAAGTGTGGTCAACAGTGCCCCAGGGGTGATGGTGGGGGCTGTAGGAAGATCTGAGACTGGAGACAGAGCTCTGGTGCGTTCACTGGAGGTTCTTAACTTGGTGCTTTAGGGAATATTAGTATTAGTATTTCTATCGCATCTAAAATGTAAGTGCTTAAAACAACAAACATATAAAGAAGTACAAATTAGTAGTGGATAATTGGTCACGGTGATGGGGACCACGGCAGAGGGAATGCAGTTAGCATTAATATGATGGCCAGGTGGAGGGCCAGAGGAGGGAGGCTGAAGAGGGCATCTGGTAGCTAGTTCCACTCCTAGCTGGGGGGAGCAATTGGGGGGATCATTTTATGAACTATATAGATGTCTAACCAATGTACTATATACTCGAAACTAATTTAAATAAATAAATTTAAAAAATAAAAAGTAAAATAAAATAAAAACAAGTATTATCTGACAGTTTCTGTGGATCAGGAATCTAGACACAGCTTAGTGGTCCTCTGGCTCAGGGTCTAAAAGGCTACAGTCAAAGTGTCAGCTAAGGCCACAGTCATCTCAAGGTTTGACTGAGGGCGGATCACCTTCCAGGCTCGCTCACGTGGCTGCTGGATCTCAGGCAGCCCTCCCTGGCTCCTGGCTGGAGACATCAGTTCCTTGCCACGTAGGGCTCTCCACAGGGCAGTGCACAACATGGGAAGTGGCAGAGAGAGAGAGAGAGAGAGAGAGAGAGAGAGAGAGAGAGAGAGAGAGAGAAGAATAAGAATGAGAGGGAAAGATAGTCTTTTCATAACATAATCTCGGAAGCGACATCCCACGACTTTTGTTGTATTCTATTTGATTAGAGACTCACTAGGTCCAGCCCACATGCAAGGGGAGTTTGCACAGGGTGTGAATACTAGTAGGTGGTGATCGATCACTGGGGCCATTTTAGGCTTAGCACATATACCAGAGCTATTTAAGACATGATCTTGGCAGTATCCCACTCTGCATAAATTATATAGAGAGATGTATAATTTTGCTGCATATTAGTTTGTTTTTGTTGATGGGTACACTCTGGTCCCCAGGAGCCCTGAAGAACAGTGTGCTTCATTTCACATCTCTCCCTAAGGATTTTACACAACCCACTTGGCACTCAGGCTGTTATTATTAGATAAATTCAGCCCAAAGCTGCCTGTGTGGGTACAGATAGGTAGGAAGGTAGGGAGGCAGAGAAAGGAAGTGATCAGGCCCCTAAATTGAATAAAGAAAAAGGTCACACGCCAACTAAAAATTAGAAATGAATCTGAGTGGAACTAAGTATCACGGTTGACAGCTCATACACGCGATGCCAACTTGCCACAGCTTGGCAGCGCCCTTGGTTTTCCCACATGCAACTGAAAATAGCTAGCATTCATCCTGAGGGAGTGCTAGCTATACCTCGCTGCTCATTCAAGCTGGAAGCAGTCTGCAATTATTTTGCTGAAATTAGATACAAATTAAGTTGCCACTTCCGGAACCCTTTCTCCTGTACTATTTTACAAAAAAGAAAGAGATTTTTGAACTCTTATAGTTTAGTTTTGTTTTTTTTTAAATACATGTAACATCTGATAGAAGGTCCACAGAGGCAGATTATTGATACTATTATCTTGTGAGACCTAATCTCTTCAGGAACCTGTTTTTCTGATTTTCAGACTTAGTTTAGTTGCTAGACGTAGTGACAGGCTGGTAAAGGTGACTGGGGTGGGAGAGGGTAACTTGCTCACATTTGAAGTATACCACGTGACACTATCACATATTCTGTCGGAGGTGGCGGAGAGGGAACTAGCATAGAATTGTCTCCTGGGATGTATATGAATGGCTCTGCTCTCACTTTTTTTGGTGGTCTGAAAGCTCTCAGAATCTGCATCCCTTTGGACGTAGAAGTTCTGCTATGTTTTTAAAAAGCGAAATAGAATAAACAAACATACATGAAAAGAACAAAATAATAATAATAATTTGGGGAGTCTTCTCTCAAAGTTGGCCAAGAAGGAAGTGGCATACAAATAATGGTGGTGTTTGGTGGGTTTTCTGCTATGAAAGAGCCCCCAAATTGAATTATCTCCTTAATAAAACAGTGTCTTCTTTGACCTTACTTTGGAGTAAGTGGATGAATATCTAAGAGGCCAGCTGGGCTGCAACCTAGGAGGCTCTATGGCTTCTGAGGTAGGATGCTTCTCCACAACTTTGAATTCCAACTTCCCTTTATTCTCTTCTCATTGTTGGAGACATGACTTATAGAAGTACGTTTAACACCCCCCCCCCCACTCCTCACCCCTCCATGCATTCCCACCCTATATCTTTATTCTGATCTGGTGAATCTTAGAAGTGACAAATTAAAGTTTTCTAGGTGACCTTTCCTCCTCCGTCAAGGTTGTCTTTTGTTTTTGTTTTTTATCCCCATAGTTCTCAAAAGGAAAACTGCTAAAAGGTCACCTAAGCAAACCCTTAAGATGGAGAATCTCTACAACTTCACTTTAATTTTAGGAGTTATTTCATGTCTTATTGAATTTTTAAAGTTGTTTTCAATGTCTCATTTTCCAGACTTCTTAGGGCTTAGGAAGAAAATAAAATGAAGTTAAATGAAATCAAAGTGAATTGAGTGATCTACCATGATGTCAGCAATGATTCCCCAAGCAGCTGTCTGCCACATCACATCTCCCGGGAGTGGCGAGTTCAGCATCACACATTTACTCTGGTAGAGAAAAGCACAGGCACAGGCACAGGCACAGGCTCTGGCTGCTCCAGGTCAGCTGAAAACTCAAAAGCAACCACCCTTTCTGGACAACTTTCTGCCTTCCCAGTACTTAACATTGACGGAAAAATTCCTGTTCGAAAAATCAGGACTTTAGGTCCTAACAAGATGAAGTTATATACTTAACAGTGACAACCTGAATGACATCTGGGTAGAAGGGCTCCCCTTTCCTGTCTCCTCCACCCCACTGATCCAAACTTCCTAGAGAATATTCCACATTTCCTGAGTAGGGAACAGAAAACTCAGGTCGACTTGGACGTTTACAAGATGGCAAACAAGTGGAGGAAGGATGAAGGGGATCAACGGGGCAAATTCGGAAAGCTGATATCTCATTTATTTTGACCAGTTAGGGAACTTTTTGATTATCATCTTTTTTCCTTCCCTGATTTCAGAAAAAACAAAAAACAAAACACAAAACCTCAAATTCTGGGGAGGGACTCTGCAACAGGAAGAGGAATGAGAACATGGGATGAATAGGGGGAAAGTGGCGTGTGTCCGCTCCCATCGCCTCCTCCCCAACACACACACACACACACACACACACACACACACACACACACACACACACACACACGAGTGTTTCATCCAGTTTAAAAACTGCTGCCCAGGTTGTATTCATCCCTAAGCAGCAATGAAGTGTGCGCTTCCCTGCGGTGCTCGCTGCCTTTCAGCAGCTTACGTTATCAGGTGACATCTCACACCTCCCACTCCCCACCACTACTGGGATAACTGTCCTCGGTGACCTTATACGTTTTTACTTCGCAGTATCATTTTGAGAGGAAAACCCGCCGCGGCTTTCCGAGTCGGGGCCGCGGGGCCCTCCCCGCCTCCACGCCGCAGACCGCAGCGCCAGGAGCGCGGATCGACCTGTGCTGGGAAAGAACGGCCTCTCCGTGCCGCCCAGCACGTCCCACGAGCAAAGGCGCGGAGTGCGGAACGCGCTGTTCCGCACGGGGAGCAACCTTCCCAGGGGCCTTGGGAGAGGCTCTGGCCTTTTCTAACGAGGCCCAGGCACCTCCCCCGTGGGCCCCCGGCTCGTTCCTGGCAGGATCTCCGCATCCCTACCGCCGGGCATAGTTTCCCCAGCACCGGGCGTAGGTAGTCGCGTCTGCAACCAGCACAGACCTTTGGGCCGCCCGGGCATGCGCATGCGCGGAGGGGGCCCGTGTTTCCTCAGGCTCAGGCGGCTGGAGAGGGCTGGAGAGGGCTCAAGCGGCAGCCATGAAGCTAGGAGCACTCCCAGCCCCTAACGAGCTTGGCTCTCTGTCCTATCTCCCAGCAGCGCGCTGGGGATGCTGAGCCACAGAATGCGAAAGGCACAGGCTCCTCCGAGCAGGGATCCCCAGCCCTTGGCTACAGACCTGAAAGGCCATGGCCAGTTAGGAGTCTGGCCACACAGCAGGAGTTGAGCCGTGGGCAAGCCAGCGAAGCTTCATCTGTTTTTGCACCTGCTCCCCAGCCCTGGCATCACTGCCTCAGCTCCACCTAAGATCATCAGGCATTAGATTCTCATTGGAGCACCAGTCCCTGGTGCCGAAAAGATTGAGGACCACTGTCTTAGAGGATACCTGCTTTATGCCTCCATTTTACGGATGAGGAAATCAAGGTCCAAAGAATCGATGAGAAATGGCCAATGCTGTATTTCTGGATTCTGGCAGCTGGGATCAGATCCAGTTATTGTTGGCATGGTTTAGGCACTCCTTCAGTAAACTTTTATCAAGCTCCTGAATACTGTGTACTAAACGTATGCATGGCACGAAAGATAACCACGAATACAACGGAAGCAGTGTAACCGTAGCCACCACAGACTTGGGCATAGAATAAGAAGGGCCTGGATTTGAGTTGATGATTTATAAGACTATACTACTAGTTGGATGGTCTTAGTGAAGCGGTTAACCCCTCTAAGCCCTAGTTTCCTGGTCTGCAAAATGGAGATAAAAATAAGACTTACCTGCAAGGGTCAAGGGGCTTAAAGGAGGTAAGGTGCACAATGCTTAGCATAATGCCTGTATGTGGAAGTCACTCAAATATTCGTGCAATGTTTTGAGAAGTAGAAAGTGCTAAGTGCATAGGCCTTCACAAGAAATCACAGTACTCATTACCAGACAGAAGTCATGCGGAAGGAGGGGGAAGGTACTTTCCCGTGTGCAGCACTCAGGAAGACTCATGCGGGGTTGCATGACCTGGCAAGGCAGAGAAAGGAGGAAACGGCCTCTGTTTATCTTCCCTCCCACTGTTCCTGCCCTTCCCCCACCCTCTCCCCTTCCTCCTCTCCCAGTTTTCACTGTGATTCATGGTGGCTGCAGAGATACATGAGGACTTCTTATGAGGGTGAAATGTGTTCTGCAAGGTGGTATAATTTAGAAGTCTCACTTTATCACAGGGACCTCTCTCCTCTTTTCCTAGGCAGGACGAGCAAAAAGGAGGAGTAGTGGGGTTAAGTAGATAAGAAGGAATGAGGGTTAAGAGCCTAAGGTGTCAGGTTGGAGTAGTCTGGAATCATAGATCATCAGAGTTGAAGATCATCTGGGACAATGATGATCCCTCTTGTTAATGAAGAAACAGTGAAAAACTGTGACAGGTAAAAAGTCATCAGGTTTTAGACTGAAGTTAGAGCCCTGGTTTTCTGTGTCTCCATAGTTCATCCATTCACACAGACCGCTTTGGATGATACATTATGTACCGCCAGGTATAAGGTTCTATCTCCACCCTATACACTTTACAGCAGGGAGTGGAGAAGGGAATATAGGAAATCAGGAGGACTCTTGGGTTCTTTGTGCAGCTTCACGGATGGTGATACCATTTACTGTGAGAGTGAGAAGAGGAATACGAACTGGTCTGAGAGGAAAGTGGTGTGTTTGAACATATTTTTCACATGCCTAACTCCAGGAGGCAGTTAGGAACATGGGTGCCAGGCATGAGCATGAGGCCTGGAGGTGCCTATCAGGGAATGGTCAACATAGAGGTGGTCACTGAGGCTGGAGAGGGTCTGAGATGGCCCAGAAAGAGCCGGTAGAATGAGAAGATCATGAGATAGATGAGAACTAAACCCTGACAGATACCAGCTTCTAAGGATCAAATAGGGATCCTGAAGAGAAGGCAGAGAACTGAGAAGAAAACCAGAAAAAAAGTGGCATGAAGCAATCAAAATTCCCTAGGGGGAGGAAATGGTCAGGAGTGAGAAATGCCACAGAAATGTCCATGTGCAAGCACTGGAATGTGCCCACTGAATGTGACAGTGAGGAGTCATCGATAACTCCTGTGACCCCGGTTTCATCATTTACATGAAAGCAGAAACCAAGTCACACTGAGAAGTAAATCGAGTCAGGGAGAAGGTACAGCAGCAGTAGCGGGTATAGCCCACTGCTTCAGAAGAGTTGGTTGGGCAGAGAAGGGGAACTTACAGCTGGGAAGCTGGGTGAGTTTCTTGTCATTTTACTATGGGAAACTGAAACATACTTACATGGTAAGGAGAAGCAGGAAGGGTTAACAGGGAGAAATAAATTGGGGTGTCAGTATAACTTCCATAGGGGTGAATGGGAAGAGAGGGCATTCCAAGCCCAGATAACCTAAAGGAAGGATTCCTCTTTCTTTGTTCTTTTCCTTCTACTGTTGAGAGGAGGCAATGCACTTGGAGGGTTTAGAAATGAACTTGGAGAATTCTTCAAATAAGCTTTGCCTCTTTCAGGATCTAGCCATGGCTGCACTCTGACCACCAAATGCATTTAATCAGCCCCATTTGCATGTGGAGCTGTGCCCAGTGCCACACAAATAACATGAAATAGATGCTGTCATTACCATATCAGTCAGAACTCCAGGTAGCAAGTGACCAAAACCCAGTTCTAACCAGCTACACCAACAATGGAATCCACTGGTTTGCTAAACTGGGTAGACTGGCTTTAGGCATGGTTAGATTTCAGATGCTTAAAAGATGTTGTCAGGAATAATATGAACAATGTTTTGAAATTTTCCGTGTGTTTTTCTCTTTTGCCTTTCAGAGCATATGAATTTAGTCTACTCAAGGCATTCATCTCCCTACAGTTAGAGAGTGGGGGAGGGATGAAGATTCTTTCCAGATGGTATGTAAAGAGAAAGAAAAGGTAACACTCAGCTTCTGACATTCAAAAGTAGAGTTCGCACCAAGACAATAGCCATGTAATTCAAACTCTTACCTTGAGAAAAAAATCCTCTACATTCCATTACCTTTCTCTCTACAAGAGCGAGGCCCGAGTTTGGTAGACTAAGCCTTGGGGTTTATGTATAGAAAGTCTAGACAGGGAGAAAGTGGTGGGGGTAGGGCTTGTGGGAGGACAGATCAAGACAGGAGCCCTGGGAGGAGCAATTGTGTTGGAAAAGTAATGATTGACCCCACAGTATGAGAAGACTTTATCCCCAACCACCCCTCCAGAACTGTGAGAAGGAGAGCCTGGGTAGCCTAGTGCTAGTCAGACAGGAGGCGTCCACTGTGGACTTTCCAAGCAATGCTATGTCCCCATGTAGCTCTGTCTGAAGCAGTGCTCCCAAAGGTAGCAGCAAGTCTGTGGCCAGGTTGCCAGAGTGATCACTATAGCAAGGCAAGTCAGTGGCACAGGCTGCCGAATGGACCACTGAGACAAGGACTAGTAAGTCATAGCCAGAAGTCAGAGAGTCTACAGCACCTGGAAGAATAGAGAAGAGGCTAAGTCAGCCAGGGGTCACCTTTGGGAGGACTGCCTCGGACTAGAGGATGGACCATGAGCTTGCCATCCACAGACCTTCACATTGGATGCTATCAATACACTCAGGATAGCTAAAAAGTAGGCTTTGCCTTGAGATGGGCAGACACCAGGCAGCTATGCTCAAGGACCAGTACAAGGCCAGGAGTTCCCTTTCTTGCAACACAATGAGGACACAGACGCCACACACCGCCCTTTTACCTCCACCCTATACACCTTACAGGGATGATGATCAGAACATTTAAAATTCTTACAGGCTCAGGTACTGACCAGTCTGGATGGAGGTGCCCTGCTGTGTCCAACATTAACCCTTTTATTGATGGATTGTGGGAGCTTGGATAAAAATCCCAGGGAAGGGGCAATGGGAGGTGCTCAGGGGACTCAGGGCAGCACCTATTTACCAACTGCTCCAGCCATATTCCAGTATTTTATCAACCAGGTCAGACATAACGGTGTGTACAGGTAAATATCAGCCGTCAGTCCAGATACCATCATCTTTCTGGGAGGAGCAGGAGAAGGGGGTGGCCAACTGAGCATATTCTCAGTGGGGATGTTAAAATTATTGGATTGGACCAAGATTTAAACCAGTTTCTCTTCCTACTAACCAGTGGAGGGCCAGATTGATTGTAATCAAACCAGAAAAGCCACATTTCATTGAAACGTCCAACTTGCAGTGTGAGTCGAATTTACCCTCCATTTTCTTTGTGTGGGCTTCCCTCTCAGGCAGCTGTTAGCCATCCCAAAGGTCAGAGAATGTCTTTCAAAATAGTGACAGCAAAAATCCCGGGTCAGGTTCTCATTGGCTCAGCTTTACTCATGTATCTGTTTCTGAACTAATCTTTGACTGGCCAAGCTCAGGTCAATCTGACCTCATGAACTGAAAGTGGAGAGGGGCATGGCTTCCCAAAGGAAAATCAAGATGCCGTTAGTAGAAAATGGGGTGCTGGTTGTTGGGGAGGCGTACCACTGTTGCCTTCTGGGGTTTAACTTTCTAAAATTCTCAGGGATGAATGCAGTGTTTCTGTAGCATGAAGTAAATGGGCATCTGAGCACTTATTAAAAAGTCTATCAGTGTAGATAATTAATGCTGAAAATCATAAATCAAAGCAGAATTTTTCTCTTCTTAAATTTTCTTACCACATTAATTAAATTAATTTTTAAGAATTGAATTTGAGGAATATAATCAACTAAATGTCCAGCTTGGTTTAAAGCCTAGTACAATCCATAAATAGTTCCATTTAGAAAATGCTCAGTCTCCTCTTGTGGATGTGAAGACAATACCTGTCTTACTTTTTCCCTGTGTATTTTTCCCTCTTTTTAAAGTAAATCACCCTCTTCTAAGTCCAAGAGAAACTGGAAATCAGTTCTTGATGGTAAAAAAAAAAAAAAAAAAAAAACTTTTTATAATAAATAAAAATGTTTATTTATTCCAAGAGAGAGAGCAAAGGCAGTATTAGCTTTTCTTTACAGAATTTTATTTTCAATATCATAAAACACTTCACGTAATTTTTAAAAATATCAACCCTAAGTAAAAAGAGATATTTAAGGTCTAGAGAAAGGAAACATAATCATCAATTTTACTCTAAAAGTTATGCTTTGACTCTTTGGAAATGCTATTATTATTCCATAAGGAATATCTTAAAATGTACATTCTATAAAATTTAAGAATTTAGAATTGAATAGAATTGAAAAACTCTCTGAGGAAAAAAAAAAGGTCAATCACAAAATAAGGAGAAATAAACTCATCATGCCCTGGCGTTTGAGTCACACAATTATTTTAGAAAGGGCTGGTTTTCTCTGCATGTGGAATCCAGGCATTCATTTATTCATCAATTATTTATCACACCCACTGTCGTTTCTTCACACTGTGCTGGGCACCGGGGATGTGAAGATGAGTAAGACAGGCTCCTGTCTGGAAAGGAAGGAGATAAGATGGGTCGCACAGAGGTCCACTGAAATGTGCAGTCATGCTGGGGGCTTGCTGTTGGGAACAGCCAACTTTCCAGCAGGGTGGATGGCTCAGAGGCGAGCTGGAATAATAAGGTGCCTGAAGGATTGGCTTTTCTCATAATGCCCGGAGCTGTGCCGGGGAAGCACTCATAGACATTTTACTGCCCTGGCTGAGACAGAGGAGGTTTGGAAATCCTCTTTGGCAGCCCTTAGGCAGCTGGGCTCTGTGACAGTTGAGAAACGAGAACTCCTGGTTTCCCCAGCTCCTCAGCATGCGTGCCCTGGCACTGTCTGCGGAGGCCTTGGGCATTCTGGTCATTCACTGAACAGACAGTTATTGAGTACCAGCCGTAGGCTGTTCAAGCAAAGCAGATTAAACTCGTAGGGAGTATATCAGTATATCGAAATGGTAGAAAATGCTGTGGAAAAAAAGAAAGCAAAAACGGAATGGCAGAGAATATGGGATGGGAGTTATGTGGTATAAAATAGGGTCTTTAAGAAATCCAACATGCAGACTCAGTCCCCACAGTTACCTGAGCACCCGAGGACCTCAGTTGGTGATGCATTAGCAGCCTGCCAAAGAAAGTGGCAAGGACTCTGACCCCAGCATTCCTGAGAAGTAGCCAGCTCAGGCCAAACAGGCTTCCCAAAGAGTTTTCTCAGCTGCTGAGTGGAGCTGGTACAGCCAGAGTCTGGGAGTTCATGCCTGCAGAGGAAATAGGGTCATTTATTCTGGAGGTGAGGGGAAGGTTTATTTAGATGTAGGCAGGTCCCCTGGCAGCATCTGGGGGAGAAGGGTATCCAGCTTCCCCAAGAGAGAAGGTCAAGGCCCTGAGAGAAGGTCAAGGCCCTGGCCAAGAAAACTGGCACCAGGACGACTCGTTTCGAGTCTCCTCTGGAAGCTGGAGTGTAAATCGGGAAGAGAGTAGATGCCAGGTCATTGGAATGGGCTGGGAGGCACAGCTGTGTTGGTATGGGGATGGGGGGCACCACCCCACTGCGCACTGGGTTACAGCTGGGGGGCAGAATAAAGAACTCAGGGCCAGATTGTTAGATTGGAGCAGAGGGTTGGCGTAGCGTGGCCAGGTTTCAGGGCCTTTGGGAGCCAAGCCAAAGGTTTGTGTTTTTCTCAGATCTACTAACAGTGGCCAAGGTGACTCTCGGCTTTTGGCTGTAGCCAAGACTTGCTTGTTGTGTCATCTCTATAAGCCCCATGGTGCTTTTAACCATGAGCCAAATAACACTGAAATAAATCGGAGGTCTATTGAGAGTGCAGCTAGGGATGACAAGGAAGGTGAAATGGCAAGGAATCCCCAATTTTTTTTTATTACTAAAGCATAATTCCCAATAAAAACCAAGCAGAAAGTGACTTAAGTCCCTGGGGAGAAAAGTATGCACGGTAAACAGTGACCAGCACAGCATGCCCTCCTGTATGGACACCAGGTCAGAACAACGTGTCACGTTGCCACTTTGATCATGGAATTTGGATCAGAGAGAACTTGGGATTTGGCTCTGGTCTCTGCCACCTGTTGGCTTCGTGACCTTGGGTAAGTTATTCAACCCTATGAGCCTTCGTTTCTTCATCTGTACAGTGGGAGAGTGCAAGCTGGAGCCTGTGCCAGGATTCGGTCATATCTGATGAGCTAGTGGGGAAATCCCCCAGGAACCGGGGAGCCTGCCTCTCTTGAGCCAAGCATGGTGAGCTCACCAAATGGCAAAATGTCCATGTCAGGGAAAGGAGTTGTTCTGAGTACACTCTGGTAACTGTGGCTAATCTGTCCTTGGCCCTGTCCTGTGTTAGGTCTGTTTCTGAGCAGAGCCTTTACTAAAGCTAACAGGATTGTTTGCTAAATACTCTAAAAGACACTTCAGTACAGCATCCCTGTGATGGGCCCCCCGTAAATGAGCATAACAGGAGAGGAAGGCATCTTCTGCACAGGGCAGCCTCGCTAGAGGGAGACGGTAGAGCAGGGAGAGGGGGCCGTGCCTGGTCCCTGGGCAGTGATTTTGGTGACTACATGTAAGACACCCTACCCCAGGGGATCCCCAAAAGTGTAGGGAGGAGGCCGCTTTGCTGGGATTAAGCTCTATGTGGTAACGAGTGAACATTTAGACTATTAGTCTTGACGTGGCTTCCTTTGCCCCATGCAGCTGGAAGAAACTTGGTTAATGCCTATCCTGTGGGGATCGAACAAGACTTTCCAGGCAGGAGCCTGGATGTGGCAAGTACATGGTAAGGGTCAGAATCCCCTCAGAAGCCACGCAGAGAACCCGCGGGAACCCTCGGAGGGCTAACTGTTGAGGGACATCCCTCAGTATGTCTGGGGATTGGGCAGCTTCCCCGTGACAAAGATTTTGAATCAAAAAGTAACCTAACACATATTTTTACATACTTACTATGTGCCAGTACGGCGTACATGCTGAGGGTTTGATTTATTTTTTCTCAGCACTTTACAGTTTACAAAATACTTAGATTTGCATTTTATTCACATTAGCTTTCACAGCAACCTAACGGTATAGGATTCCCCATTTACAGATGGGAAGACTGAGTTTCAAAGAGCCTAAGTAATTTATCCATAATATGCCAACCAATAAGGGTGCAACTAAACTCAAATCTTTCCTCTTTCTTTGTTGGGAAGCTGAGACCAAAAAATGAAAGAACAAAGGAGAAACTCAGTTAATACTAAAACTTGAGGTTCTGACTAGAAGAGCCAGAGAAGACAGATCTTTGCAGCTGGACATCCGGAAGAGGTCAGCTGGTTGTACAGCTGGATCTAACCAGAGGGTGGAAGGCTGGGGACAGGGTGTAGGAAAGGAGACAGCATATGGGGAGGGCAGGCTCCCAGGGGGATCTGCTTGTTGCCTGAAGCTGCCCAGGCTTCTCACATTTCACAGAAAATATTTACAGACCTTTCAAAAAGAAACTGCAAATCATTCCCCCACATTTCAGAAGTCGCAACAGAGGCTTTGCTCCTCTCGCTGTCTGGGCCATCAAAATCACCTCTCATGACTTTGGCGACTGCTGGTCTCAGGGTCTGCATCCCGTCATTTCTAATTCTTCTTGGGGAACTACTTATGACATTGTAAAAGTATGCAAAGCTACACACTGAAATGTGCCCATATTACATTAGTTAGTCAGAAATGATGCTCATTTCAAATTGCAGGGGGGAGAAAGAAAACACAGAAGAGACAGGACAAGGAATGAACATTTATGGGCCATAGTCTGTACTGGCACCTTTCACATTCATGATCTCTTTTAAAACTCACTGCAGTGTAATGTGAAAGATGATATCAATGACACTTTGGCAACTGAGGAAACAGACGCTCAGGGAGATAATGTAACTTGGCCAAAGTCACACAGCTAATAAGTGGCAAACCTAGGATTTGAACCCAGGTCTGACTGCAGAATATTTTTCAATATTCCACAATTTATAGCCTGTGGAATTCAGATGGAATTAAGAGAGGACCAATAAACACAGTTTAATTGACAGTAAAATTCTTGATCCTAGTTTTTATTCATTCGAGTTTCCAAACCATGCAGTTTCCAAATTATCAGCTTCCGAGGAATTCTTAAATCCTCGGAAAAATTACAGTACTCAGGATTCATGGAATCCCAACAGTTAGAACTGGACACCGACTGAGATGCCACCAGAGGACCCAGCGTGGAGCTGAGTGACTCTACGTACGAACTTTTTCATCTTTAGCAGCGTTTGTCCAAAAACAGGGCCCATCTTGCACTGGGTAGAGGATGAGGAAGAAACTTTCAGGTGAACCTGCCTGGTTTCCTCAAACTCTGTTTAATACGAGCACCAAAGTTTGACGCATTCAAACTGCTTTACTTTCTTTGGCAACTCCAGTTTTGACATGAGAGCAAGAAATACGTCTCCCCCTTGACAGGAACAATGTGTGATGTGAAAGACCTCAGGTGCTGTGCTGGGTTTTGACAGTTCAGAAGAAAGCACCTCCTGCCTGCTCTGTTCAATCCCAGTCCAGGTGAGTCACTGCATTTTCAGCCACGCAAGTATTTTAAGACACAAGAAATCTAAGCCAGAGCAGGCAGAGAAAGGTGAAGGATAGATTATTGCCATTAACTTTGATGGTGTCTTGTTGTCATGGTGCTGGGAAAATCATTTTCAGTTAGAGTCTCACTCACTGCTGTTTTGCCAGAATTTTTGACTTGGGAGGCTGGTGGCCACCCTGATGCAGGTGTGGCCCATAGGTGTGTACACTCACATACACCCGCAGCCTACACCCACTCGAGAAGGCTCGCATTAGTTATTTAGGTTGTGGTTAAAAGACTCTAACTCATATCGAAGGCAAACTGTTCCCTCTAGATCAGCTTGCAGGGAGCCGGCATGACCCTGCCAGTCACCCACCTCCCATGACATCACTGCAAGTTCTGGAGCAGAGTCAGTGACTGCCTGAGCCACCTCAACCTCTGCTACCTGATTCAGCATTTGACCTTGGAAAATGCCACCATCGCCATTCTCTTAAATATGATGCAAGGCTCAGGTCTCGTGCCATTCTGAGAGGCGGAGGGAACTTTGACGTCTGCCAGGAGCTGGGGAGGGAGGCGGGTGTGCTGGCCAGGGGAAATGACTGGAACCCATTGTTCCAGGCTGCATTCCACAGGCTGGCATCGCATGGGAGGACGGCCTCTTCTGCTGGCATCTACACTGCAAAGTTCTGCATATATGCACTGAAATGGGGCACTCATCAGTACCAAGAGACTAGCTTGGAGCAGGAAATTAGTTCTACTGTAGCCCTCCAGAGTGAACCACCCTGTAGGAACCATGAGATAAACTGTGCTCTCCACTCAGACTTCCCACGAGCTCTCTCCCTCTCTCCTGCGCCCCTTTCACCTGCCCTTACCTAGGGGACTGCGGTGGTAGTGGGGAGCGGGTTGGGGGTTGGGGAGACTACCTTGCTATCTACCTTTTCCTGAATTCCCTTAATTAAACTAAACCTTCAAGTAATAGAAAGAGCAAGTAAGCTCCATGCCTGGCCCTCTGGTCCCCTCCCCCAGATTTTGACTCCAGGGCTTGAACAGGCTTATTTGTATTAAGGTCCCAAGTGAGTTGATTGCAGGTGATCCTGGACTACACTTTGAAAAATACTGGGGCAGAAATAAGCCAGCAAATGTATGGGATACATCTGGTATGAGTAGTAATTTATCTAGTTTCTTAAAGTAGTGTTATGGGCTGAATTGTGTCCCAGCACCTAAATTCATATGTCGAATTCCAACTACCAATACCTGAGAATGTGACTGTATTTGGAGACAGAACTTTTAAAGACATAATTAAGTTAATGTAAGGTCATTAGGGTGGGGGCCCTAATCCTACAGGACTGGTGTCCTTATCAGAAGAGGAGATTAGGACACTGACAGGCACAGAGGGAAGACCATGTGAGAACATGGTGTGAAGTCAGCCATCTGCAAGCCAAGGGGACAGGTCTCAGAAAAAAAAACCTGCTGGCACCTTGATCTCAGACCTCCAGCTCCAGAACTGTGAGAAAAGAAATTTCTAGTGTTTAAGCCACTTGCTCTGTGGAACTGTATTATGACAGCCCTAGCAGATTAATACAAATAGGAACCTGATTTCACTCGATAATCATCTCAGAAAGTAGAGACTGCTTTAATGCATTGTATAAACAAGGTTGGTTTATGGAGCAAAGGACATGAACCCCAGCCCTGGAGTCATAGAGGTGGCTCAGCCTACTCAGAAACACAGCTTCCAGTGCCAGACATTCCTGCACACAAAGACCAGCACCTTCTTCTCTGGCTTACCACCTGAGTGACTTCAGACAAGATGATGATGATAATGATGATGATGATGATGATGATGATGATGATTTATTATTATTATTTAGCAAATGTATATATAGTGCTTACTATGTGCCAGGTAATATCCTAAGCACTGTACAAATTATTAACTCAATCCTCTTTACAACAGTGTGACATATATATACTGCAGGTCCACAATCCTTTTTTCAAAATCCTTAGAGACAGCACTGTGTGGTGTGTCAGAATTTGAGAAAGATAATATATAACATCCTGCAGCATCTGCGACAGTGGCCTGTAATCAAACAGATTAATATTTCTGTAGGAGATGTATATGTTGCATAAATAAAAACTATAAGTAGCCCTGTGCCAACTCAAGACAGATTTTTTGTGTCTAGTGAGTTTATTTCAGGTCAGATTGTGTTGCCAAATGAGTTATAAATACAATTTTTGGTATTTGAGCTTTTAAGGTTTTGAAATTGTGGATTCCTGCCTTACAGATGGAGAAACTGAGGCACCAGGAGGTTAAACAACTTACCCACATTCATTAATTCATGGAAGGGGATGAGGGCTGGGCTACCAGCACAGATAGCCTGACTCCAGAGTCCCTGCTCTTCACAACGGCCTGCTGTGCCCCTCTGTACAGCCCACCTCTTGGAGCCTGACCCACTTGTGGGATATGAATTACGCCAAGCTCGCAGTCTTGCTGTGAGGACCAGGTACAATGTAGATAGAGTTCTGTTATGGATTGAATATCGTCCCCCCCAAAATTCATAAGTCGAAGTGCCCAATACCTCAGAATATAACCTTAAATGGAAATAGAGTCATTGCAGATATAATTAGTTAAATTAAAATGAGTTCATTAGGATGGGCTCTAATTCAATACGACTGTTGCCCTTATTTTAAAAAGAAGTTTAGACACAGAAAGACATGTACTCAGGGAGACGCCAATTGAAATTGAAGGCAGAGATCAGGGTGATGCTTCTACAAGCCAAGAAATGTCCAGAATTGCCAGCAAAACACCAG